TGTAGGTTCTCGAATTTCTGTCACTACGTCATGAGCTTGGTTGAAATCTTTGCTTTTCATAGGATTTCACAGAGAAACAGGCGCCTGCCGTGATGTCGAGTATTTAAAAAAAACAAAAGGGAACTTACTTGTTCATCTGTCGATTTGCCTGCTTTCCGTAATATCTCAGATACAGCTATTCCATGTCTTGCATTGAAAGGGCTACAGATAACCTAAAAATCACAAGGAATAAGCAGAACTCCTTAGACAAAATTTACTGTGGATGAGTCAGCTACATGAAAAAGGATAAAGTCTTCGCCGTTGATCAATCCCTTTGTGGGATGCGGCACGCATTCTACTTCCATTCAGAATCGTAGTGGCTTATTGAATGCGATGTGGCCTATACAATGACTTGCGGTGGCCAGCCGATGTACAAGTTTTATCCTCCCAGACGAATCTGGTACCAATTCACCGTCCCCGGAGGGTAGAAGGCTTGGTTGGCCTGGGCGGGGTCGACCCGGGATTTGAATCCCAGGACCGCGCGAACGTGCCACTTGTCAGTACACCACCTACGCCTCAGCTACATAAGGTATAAATCGTTGGTTCCGAATCTTGACAAGGCGGCCAAAGAGGAGTTACGAACGGGCGTTCGCACCAAGACCTTCTTGATTAAACTTGGCGTTGCTGGGCTGTGTCAAGTCAACCAGGACCAACTAACTGCCCGTGTCCCTCTTCCACACCCTTTCCTCTGAGCTCTTCTCCAGATAGGATCCCGTTACTTAAAGAGCTGCCTCATAACGTAGCAGTTATGTGTCATATGGCAGTGGAAGGGTGTTAGCAGGGCGACACCGCCCTAGAAGGTTGATAGCTGATTCCCTGCAAATTCCCAGCCTAGCTAGCGGTAGGATCAAGGTCTGTTTATATCACAGGAGCCGTTTCGCGAAACCCTCTCCCAGTGTTCCCCACATACTCTTCCTCCGGCGGACATGGACATACCGAAGTTACCTCCGACAAAAGGACCAAAAGTAGTGGAACACAGCGAGAAGTGAATTAGATAGTTCTCCTCACCATCGTGTCCACAATACCTGGCCCATCTTCGCCAAGGAAAAGCACGACGATATCTCGAACACGCTCCTTTTTCAAAAGAGAAACCACCTCGTCGATCGTTTCAAGACTAAATCACAACCTGATTATTCAGGTACAATCAATTAATTCTGGAAGAAAGTGGAAAAAACTTACTGAATTTCTTCCTCAACTTTTTCAGGTAACACTGGTTCGCTGTCTTCATCCTCATCCTCTTCATAATACTCTTCTATGTACTGACTAAAGTAGTCCTGTGACTGCTTGATTTTTGCCTGCTGTGCTTTAAGTTCTTCGTTGGTTTGCGTAGAATAACAAGCTTTGCTAAAACAAATATCTGGGCGTTTCAGAAAGTAAAAAAGAAATTGAACATCAAAAGACACTTTGACTGGGAAGTCTGATGCGCCTACTGTGGCCTGAGCGGATGGCCCAATGTTCGATTACTGAGCAAACGGGTTGGCGTGGATTGTGACGTCCTTAATCCTGAAAAGGCCCACTTATATTCGAATGTTTGGTTCACAGCAATTTCATGGAAGTTCGCAGGTGTTGCGTTGGGAAAAAATCTACACAACACGTCCCTTCCCCAATTTCCACCTATAATACCCTCCCCCATTCCTCATCCGCATCCCAACTTTATTCTCCCCAACATCCTACTACTTTTCGGAGAAAGTCTCCATTTTTATTGAAAGTGCCGCGAAGCCAGGACGAGGGCACATTGCGCCACCGGAACACGAACAATCAAGAAAAGTGAACAAGCGATAACATTTTTTTCAGAAGCAAACACGACTCCCCTTCCCTGAACCGACTGCACACGACGCCTTTCCCCGTTTGCTGGCGATGCTGGTGCGACCCTTCTGAAGCAGACAGTCTCAATGTCACTCTGGTCGTCTGCGCTCTAAGCCTAAGCCTTGGTCATGGGAAGGAATCCAAAAGTGCTGCCGCTTGGCTACGCGCAACTACGTTAGCACCGTTTTGCAATGCCAGCAGATCTATTTGTTGAAAAAACCAAAATGTGAACACAAAGAGAATGAGAGGCAAGTCCGCTCTTTCTTTGCTGCCCCAAGTGGGCTCTCCCTACTTCAATGCCCAGTTACACCTAGTTCCTCATTTACAGTCGGCCTCTAGAATTGCGAGGTATGGACAAAGAACAATACAGACCCGAAAGGTCCCAAAATAGCAGCCCTCTCCGTATCAACGTACCTCGTTGGGCGAGAGGGAGAGAGACCTGTCTTTGCTCCGAGTGATCCAAAACTATCTTCGAGCAGCCGCGGTGTGCACCGTTAAGTCCGCAACTACATACGATCGGCTCAGCTCAGAGCTACTGAGCGTACTTTTTGCGGCATGATGTGTCGCCATTTCAGTTCAAGGTACAACAACTCGAAGAAGCTACACGGCCAAAAGTATTTACCTTTGTTCCACAACCGGACGATACTTGGCGTCCACCTTGATAGTTTCAAGCTCGTCGAGTGCATCGAATCCGTCAATCACTCTATAAAATTCTACGGTGACACTAGAAAATTCTTGACAAATGATCGGAAGAAAAATGAGGCGATATTCCACGCAGGTGGGATATTTTGGTGCAGTTGTTCAAGTGGATAACCGTAATCGAAATTTTGCGCAAGGAGTCCTTTGAAGCTATGAAGTGGTGTTGACGTCATTTACATGCTTTTTCACCAATTTTTAAAAATGTGGACCAAATTTAATATTGGAAATTGCGATGAAATGATTTTGAGCCAGGAGGCGAGGCGTTGCGCCTAAACGCAGGAAAAATGAGATTAGATCCAATTGAAAACTGGGTGGGCATTACTTCTACTGAACGTCTACAATAAAATAAAAATTACGATTGTGGGTAAAATGCTGTAGGTTTCTGCACCCAACCCCCCCCCTCTCTTCTTGGAATATTGCCAAAAAATAATTGAAAATTAGCTTACTTTCCAAAAACTGTGTACTTGAGGTCAAGATGAGGCTGTTTTGCATACGTGATGAAGAACTGCGATTTGTTCGTGTTCGGCCCGTTATTTGCCATAGACAGCGTACCACGACCGTCGTGCTAAATATTGGTTAAAGCGTCAAATTGCTAAACTTTTCCTATCCCAGCGCTTACCCTAAGC